TTTTCTTCCTTAATATTTTGCAAAAATAGAAGTGGCGTAACGGTTAGGCCCCATCACCCTGAGAGTCCTTGAATCCGCTCCTGAATTTTTTTGCATTTTCGCGCGTGCAAGCTTCTGCAGCAGCAACAACAACCACCAAGCAACACAGAACCGAGGGAGGACGAAGAGGAAGGGCCAGGCAACGTAACGTGACTGAGAGAGCACTCGGCGGGGCATTGGTTCCATATGTGGCTATGTGTGTGTGCGTTGGTGAGCTGCAGCTGGCAGTGAGCTTTGTACTTTATTACTGGTTTTCAACTCACTGAAATATGTGGAGCGTCGCTTGATTTACTCTCAGTGCAAGGCCAACCGCGAGCGGGAGAGCGGAAGAGAAGTAGTTGGGGCTAGGGGGAAAGCAGCGTAAAAGGAGCGACTTTCTTCTTCCAGCTGTTTCTAAAAGCTTCCCTCTCTCTCTATCTATATTTCTCTCTCTATCTTTTTCTCTGTCTCTCTCAGCCTTGTTGGCTTGCCGGCTGGGGATCTCGCCACCCCATTCTCCAAGTCAGTGTCCCTATCCTCTCACACCCTCACCAGCTGTTGCTTACCCAAGCCTGGAGTCACTGAAAGAAAAAAGTTATGTCTCGGGTAATGCGAGGTGTAAGAATGCAAACCAAATAATTTAACCAGCCTTAGGATATTTTATCATCTGCAAAACACACTTGATCTTTACTATTTTCAAAACACAAAAGACTTAGAATTGGCTTCAAGCTCTTTTGTTTTCAGTGCACACACACAGGACCGTATAGTTTATGGCAATTTCTTATTAATAAGAGGCTTTTATGTATAGCCGGGAGTTAGTGCCATCCCAGAGGCGACATTAACATTAATAATAATAAAATGTGTTATTGCCTAGAACAAGAATATTTCTGATTCTGCTTCTTCGTGTTGTCCTGCTCGATGGCAGCTTCTTCAACCTTCGTTTTCCTTTAACCAGTTTGCAGTTCTCCCGGATTTCTGTCATAGGTGTAAATCATTTTCTAATCGCAGCCACCAGATCACATGCACACGCATCAACCAGCACACACACACACACACACAGAGAGAGACATAGCACACTGAGATAAAAATACTAGTAGCAAAGGCATTTTTGGCACAGTTACCGATGATACTCCCCATGATGCTCAAAATGATATTCCTGAAGATAATATTTGGTTTATTTAACATTTTATTTACACCTTATTGCTTGATATCTTATAAGGATTTCAAAAAGGTAATAGCTTGATTTGAAGACTAGTTCCTTATTTCCGTATAAAAGGTACGTTTTTTTAGACATCATTGGTACGGGTCCTGATCTACTACCAAATGTTACTCATCCCCGCATCCGTGGAATAAGAATTCGACAATCTGCTCCACTGTGGCCGTTTCCTCCGAGGAACCGACGTGGATCTCCAAGCTTTCGGTCTCCTTATTTCGGGATTCTTATTTCGGTCCCATAGTTGTTCATGCGTTTCTTCACAGTCACGAATTGCTTTCAACGAACGGCAAAGAGATCTGGAGCGCTCAGTCCTCGTCTCCAAATCAGTTGTTTTAGAAGGTCGATTTGTAATAGTCTTTTTGTCGGAAAGTATATTTGTATGAGTTGTGTTGGAAGGTTTTTTTTTCTCAGTTTTGTTGGGTGGTGTAGTTCTATCAAATGTGTTGGATGGTTTGATTTTATCAGTTTTGTTGGATGGTGTAGTTCTATCAAATGTGTTGGAAGGTTTCTTTTTATCAGTTTTTTTGTAAGATGTATTTATAAAATATATGTAAGTTATAGCTATATCATTGCTTTTGGAACGTAAATTTATATCTTTTCTGTTGAAAGGTGTATTTATATCAGTTTTTTTATAAGATATACCTTTAACAGTTGTTTTAGATGGTATAATTATATCATTTTTGTTGTAAGATATATCTTTATCAGTTGTTTTTGATGGTATAATTATATCATTTTTGTTGGAAGGTATATTTATATCAATTGTGTTGAAAGGTATATTTGTATCAGTTTTGTTGGAGTGTCTATTTAGATCATTTTCGTTGGAAGATATATTTGTATAAGTTATGTTGGAAGGTATATTTCTTTCATTTTCGTTGGAATGTATACTTGTATCAGTTGTGTTGGAGTGTTTATTTAGATTATTTTCGTTGGAATATATATTTTTATCAGTTGTATTAGATTGTATATTTAGATCATTTTTGTTGGAAGATATAACAGTTATGTTGGAAGGTATATTCATATCATTGTCGTTGGAATGAATATTTGTATCAGTTATGTTGGTAGGTAAATTTAGATCAATTTTGTTGGAATGTATATTTGTATCAGTTGTGTTGGAAGGTATATTGATATCAGGTTTGTTGGAAGGATTATTTATATCATTTACGTTGGAAGGTATATGTGTATTACTTATGTTGGATGGTATAGTTGTATCAGTTTTGTTGTAAGATATATCTTTATCAATCGTTTTGGATGGTATAATTATATCATTTTTGTTAGAAGATCTATCTTTATAAATTGTTTTGGATGGTATAATTATATCATTATTGTTGGAAGATATATCTTTATCAGTTGTTTTAGATGGTATAATTATATCATTTTTGTTGGAAGGTATATTTATATCAATTGTGTTGAAAGGTATATTTGTATCAGTTTTGTTGGAGTGTCTATTTAGATCATTTTTGTTGGAAGGTATATTTGTATCAGTTATGTTGGAAGGTATATTTCTTTCATTTTTGTTGGAAGGTATATTTGTATAAGTTGAGTGTAAAGATATATCTATATCAGTTATGTTGGAAGGTATATTCATATCATTGTCATTGGAATGAATATTTGTATCAGTTATGTTGGAAGGTATATTCATATCATTGTCGTTGGAATGAATATTTGTATCAGTTGTGTTGGAAGGTATATTGATATCAGCTTTGTTGGAAGGATTATTTATATCATTTACGTTGGAAGGTATATGTGTATTACTTATGTTGGATGGTATAGTTGTATCAGTTTTGTTGTAAGATATATCTTTATCAATTGTTTTGGATGGTATAATTATATCACTCTTGTCGAAAGATATAAATTTATCAGTTGTTTTGGATGGTATATTTGTATCCGATGTGTTGGAAGATATATCTTTACCAGTTGTGTTGTAAGATGTATTTATCATATATATGTAAGATATATCTATTTCAGTTTTGTTGGAAGGTATTTTCTTATCAATCTTTTTGAAAGATATATTTTTATGATTTTTTTTAAGAGGTGTACTTGTATCAGTTGTGGTGGGAGATATATTTATATCAACTACGGTTAAGGGAGTATCTGTATCAGTTTCTTTAAAAGGTGTACCTAAATCAGTTTTGTCGTGAGGTATATTTGTATAAGTTATGTTAGAAGGTATGTTTGTGTCAGTTGCTTCGGAAGGTGTATCTGTTTCAGTCGGTACCAACGTCATATTCAAGTGTTGTGGATCATTGAGTGCCTTCGACTCCGAATCAATCTTAGGGGATCCACGCATAAAAGTAAATATTTGGTGGAGATCCTTTGCGAACTCGTCAATACGTTCCTCCATTTTGCGACGTCCTTCATTTATCTCTTCGATACGAGCCATCGTCTCCTCACTGATAACATCTTAAAGCGAATAGAAGGGTTATGAATTTAATGGAAAACATTTCCCATCTGCTAGAGCTTACCTTTATTTCCGCTTTTGTCAGACATCGTTATTTGATAGCTTTTATTTCAGATAATATTAAAACCTTTTCGTTACTGCTACAACAGAGAAGAAAATTCTTATAATGAATTCCGAATCTCGAACGAGCTAGATAGTTGTGATTGATGACTTCAGGGGTCACTAGATACTGACTTGAAATGAATGAAACAGAAAAGAATGCTTAAAATCTTGATATTATAAAGATTACTGTGCTTCTAAAGAGACATAAATAAGTTACTAGGCTATATTCTCTAGGTTATATTCTCTATAAGCTGCCAGAATGATATCAGATATGACCTTGGTCTTATTATCCTATTCTTCCTTGGGGTGCTTGCTTATCCCGTTGATTTCTTCAGTTCTTCTCATTGTCATCCCATTTTAATATTTTATTTTGTTCAAATTCATATCACTCCTGTTTTGTATAGCTTCTTTTCTCCCAGTGAAGTCAATAGTCCTAGGAATTAACAATGAGCTGGCAACGATGTTAACTGGAAAATGCTTTTCGCTTTTCGCTGAGCTGTGGCTGAATGCCATTTGGGAGTGAGTTTTTGAGGTATGTACGCTTTCGTCCTCGGCCCCTGGGACTTTGGGAGCCAGAGTTGGAGCAGTAGCTGGCGCTCGAGCTGAAGCTGGAGCTGGAATTTGGAGATGGGTGCTTTGCGGGCTCTGTGGGTCGGCGGTTGGCGGTTAGTTGCCTCCGCCTCCACCATTGGGGTGCAATGAACCCGCCGCCGTTAAGTATGCAACACGGGACAGAAGCTTAATTGGTAGCCAAATCCGTCGAAACAAATTTTCCACCATTCGCTTTCGTTAGCGTATATAGAATAATTTATTTTTTTGCTTGTGCACATACAATTATGTGGTGTAAATAAAAAATAAAAATAAACAAAAATCTGGGAAATTAGAAGCTATTTACTTTCCGCAGCTGCTCATATGTGGTTATTCAATTAAATCCTTCAGGAAAAGCCGGTGCTGGGTTTAAGTACACATTTTCCCATATATATCTGGCATAAATATATCCTTTAATTGTTATTCAAGCTGTTTTTAATTATTAAGTTGCTTTAGTCTTACCTAATAATCAATTTTATATGTTTTAGAGTTTAGTATTTCACGGAGGTCTGTTTTTATTTAAACATAGTTTTCTGTTTCTTATAATTTATGTAATGGTTATTGTAAATATCCTTGCATTAAAAACAAATTATATAAACTTCATTGAGTTTTCTATATAGCTAAAAGAAGTTTCTTTGTCCTTGAATAAAAGCTGAGGTATGTTTTTTGTTTTACTTTTAATGTTAATAATTATAGCTTCAGGGCATATATTGTGAATGATCGTAGGTCGTCCAGGGATTGCTTATATTGTTGGTGTATCCATGGTCGGGCAAAACTTTGGGCGTGCGATAATAATTCTTAGCTTGGTTAATATAATCCTGAAATTAGTTTAACTATATATAACTTCATTCCATGCACACAATTTCACACCTACCTTTTCGTTTCTCCTTTGATGCACCCACAAAGGACCCTGGGATCCCAAACTCTGGCCCTCAATGGCTGGCTTCACCTGCACCACCGCCGATGTGGGCTTGTCACCAAAACGAGGCTTCGAATGTGATCTCAGACTCAACTTGAGGTCTATGCTGGGTGGTGGCTCCCGACGAATCCGCTCCTCGATCTCGTAAAGCTCTTGCTACAAATTTGGGAGAGTTAGTATTATATTTCATAATTAAAAAAAAAAAAAATAATAATAATACTTGAAACCTTGACACTTACTCGATTTTTATAGACCATACAGCAGGCGCGCAGTGTAAAATAGTAGATAATCTCCACGCCCGAGAGTAGAGAGAATCCAAGAAAAAGACTGGCAATTCCGCCAAAAGACACCAGCAGATCCACCCAGCCAAAGAGAACCTCACGTTTGTACCGGATAATGGGCCAGGTAAGGAACTCCACCAGCACACCTGTGCTCTCTGGCCGGTCCACACTGAGAAAAAAAAGCCAAGAGAAAGTTATATCAATGGTATGCTTGGAGCAGAACGCTAGGAAAACTAACATTTTGATGAGCTTGTCAATATTAAATACGGTCTTTGAACAGCTAAGCTCACACTGGAGGCAGTCCTTGATATTAGTGATGTTGGCCTTGAACTCATTAAGGCAATCCAGGTCCTTTAACATACACATGGGTACATTGACTGAGGGAATAAAACAATCAATCAGGCAAACATTATCATTCAAGTCTTAGCAAAGACAATTAAGCAATTAATAAGATGCGTAACGCCAGGCGATTTCTTTGTACTCCCTCTCTTAAAATATCGTTTAAAAAAAGTGAGACAGAAGAAGATTGCTCTCTCTTATGTGCTCATAAATTCTATAGCATTCTAAATCTGCCTAGCTGTTGTTGAAAATGCTGATAAAAAAGAAAAAGAGAAGAAGATTGCTATCTCTAATGTGTTCTAAATCTGCCTGGCTGTATACGCACTTGCTGGTTCTGTGTGAAGCACATTTATTTTTTAAACTTATTACTCCCTCCCTTGAAATGTTGTTGAAAATGCTGATAAAAAAATAAAGAGACAAGAAGATCTCTCTCTCTCTCTCTCTCTATCTCTCTCTTACGTGCTCTAAACTCTCCAGCATTCTAAATCTGCCTGACTGTATACGCACTTGCTGGTTTTTTTGTGTTTTTGTTCAAGCAAGAGGCCGTCGTTAGCCTGTTTATTTCAATCAAAGTACATGGACGTTACGCATCTTATTATTTATACCTTGTTTGGCCTTACCTATGGGCTTGTAAAACGGCGGATTGCACTTGCAAAGCTTAATGGCCTTGTTCATGCGACACTGCTTCATGCAAGATGAGAAGGTATACGCATCCGGGAAGTAATTGAGCTTGACCTCATCGCTGAATATGCATTTCCGCTGACCAATCGATAGCTGGCGGGCATCATCTGTGGTGTAGGTATTCTTCTTGGATATTCTCACCTCCACCAGCTGACTCTCCGACCAATCGATCTGGGCATTGAAGTCAGAACCGAAATACTCCTCGTTTGAGAATATGAAAATCTATTAAGAGTTACGAATTAGATCTTTTAAAATGGATGAAAAGCTGGCAAGACTCACCCTAGAAGTGCTATTGGGCACAAAGAAGAGCGCCCACTTTTTGTCCGTCTCATAGAGGTCATGTGGGGCGCCCGTTTTAACACTTAACACAAGAGAAACAGTAGAAAGAATAAGTAGAATAAATAAATTAATAAAGTAAAGTGCAACTTTAACTCACTCTTCGGTGGCCGTGGACTTGAAGCGGCTGTTGAAGGCATAACAAAAGCCATGCTCCGTGTAGATGGGCTCAAAGTGCTCACAGCAGGGTATCTCCTCGTCGCGATACTTGCAGGAGACAAAGGTGCTTTCGCAGCTAATGTGCGCCTCGAAGGCCCACTGCCGTAGGGTATTCTCCTCCAGTTTGGTTTTTGGTATCGACTGGGCCAGAAGTTTCGCATCGCCAATTCTCTCAAAGCTCAGCGAGGTGAGCACCTCCAGAAACGAGGTATACTTCGGCACCTCCTCTTCATCATAGTTTCTAATATCCAAAGGGGGTTAAGTTATATTTACAACTATTTAGTACAGTTTTCATGGAGCTAGGCTTAGTATAATAGATAGGTTAAAGGTCGATACTCACGCCAGGGTCTTGTATACAATTGCCTCGGTCCTGTCATGGTCAAAGGCCGCCTCCGGACAGACGACGGTGGTGGGAAATACAACATTCTGATTGTGAAAGTCCGTGTCCAGGCCAGTGATGGTGGGATTTGTCTGGAACTTCTCCCAAAGACTCATAATGATGACCAGAGCGGTGACCGCACCGATTGAGGTGAAGCAGAACCACATGAACTTCTCGCCAATGGGTCGACCCGATTCGGCAATATACCGAACACCGTGTAGAGTTGAGTTCTGGAAGAACTCCTTGGTCTGGTAGATGAGACTACGCCGGAAGATGACCAGTGTCTCGAGGGCGCGCTGACGCCGCCTGGATGGCATTTCCGCAACCGGATGGCGTTTCTCTTGCGGCATTTCCGTTTCAGGAACATCGCTCGCCGCAGTCCGAGCACTCGATCCAAAGTCACCGCAATGACTGAGCCAAAGCCGGAGGAGGGCTTCAGTTTCAGCTTGCTTTGGTTCTTTTTTTTTTTTTTGTTTTGGAATCGATGCGTGGGTCATTAGTGGCTGCGTGCGTTGGGGGCCTTTGCTCCATGTTTTGGCCCTAAAAGCCTTTCATTGTTTATGCACTGAGGCTTGCATGCTTTTGATTGAGTCTCGAATTGGGGCAGTTAATGTGGCCTATCTAGATGGCAATACTCTTTCCCAAAGCAGTCAAAAACAAATCAGAGATGGCTAAAATATTATTTCTTATAATTATATAGGAATGTTAGTCTAACTTGGAGTTCAACTTGAACTTGTTTCAAAAATATTTACCATTCGATATGTCAGAGAATTAGTCATATACCTGGTACACACAGGGTCCTTATAGGGTATTAGGGCTTAGTGTCAAACGGAAATATAGAAGAAAGCACGCTTTCCAGCCCCATCAACTTTATATGCAATTATATTCGGGATAAGCATTAAGTTTATATCTCGTTTTATTCATTTCAAGTCAATTTCCAGTGACCCTTGTAATTTACATTCAAAACTGGTTAGCTCGTTCGAGATTTCAGTATTCATTATAAGAATGTTCTAGGAATAAAATTTATATAATTTTTTTTAATGATTGCTATAAAAAAACGATGCCTGAAACAAGCGGAAACCAAGGTAAGCTCTTTCAGTTGGGAAAGCTATGAAACTTGTCAAATGTGTCAAGGGAGCAGTATCTTTGGAAATATCTGCTTGAGTACGGAATGGAATTATCATCTTAACTATCATACTATTAGAACCATCATATAATATTCCCAGCTTAGACTGAGTGGCTCAAAGCAGCTCTAAACGGATAAATGCCTGGATGAATAGCTGGTTTAATTGGTCAAAGCTGTCTGATCAGCTTCCGGCGCCGCCTCGCTTTCAAAAAAAAAAAATTATATATATATTTAAAATAAAAGTAAATAAAATAAAATAATAAAAAAAAAATCATACCATGTTGTGGATGTTGTCCACTCCACCACACAACTTAAAATTCACTTTAGTCCACGGTACGGAGAAACTTCACAAGTCTTGTGTGAATTTCTGACACGGCCCAGACCCTCTTTGTTCCCCTACTGCACCCCCTAGCCTGGGCCGTGGAGTGTTCTCAAGTTTCACAAGAGTGCCAAGAGGGGTTTTTTTATTTTTTGGGATTTTCAGGACAAAAGAACCTGATGGCGGTGGTCAGATAATCGAGGCAACTGGCGCCAGTAGGGGATAAGAGCCTATCCCAACCCCAAAAGAAGCCAGAACGAAGGGCAGCTAGGAGGAACTGGAAAGAGTAAAAAATATCCTTAGGAAGGCATCCAAATCTTTCCCAGAGTTGTCTTAAACGTATTATCTTATGGTTTTATTTACCAAACATAGCTTTCGCCTGTTGCTGGGTATTTTAATGGTTGCATCACTTTGCCTTAAGCCTTTCTTTACCCCTCACCTGCAGGTGCTGGTAGTTTCGTTTCGGCTCGGTTCGGTCTCTTATCGGCGATCATTTGTCAAAGCCCTGCCAGTGAAAAGTGGTTCGACCACTGAGCAAAATGGGAACAGAAACCAATTTGTTGGCATCTCCTTTTCCCTTACCCAACTTCAAAGGAAGGGAAGCAAAGGGAAAGAGACTATTTTTATGTAAAACAAGAAAGGAAGCTAACTTCGTACGCCGAAGTTTGTGTAAGAATTGAGCCATTCAATATGAAAAAATTAAAGAAAATATATAAAAGTATTATATTATACATATAATTTGGTTTTTATGTTTATATTATAGATTTAAATGCTAAAAACACACACAAAACAGAGTTTTATTACTATTTACCTATACTTACTATGTTTACAGTTTGACAGTTACAGTTTTACATTCCCAGCTTTACATTTTCTCTACATTTACCGATCGTTCTTATGGCAGCTATATGCTATAGTCGTCCGATCCAGCCCGTTCCAACATATATATCAGTGAGACCAGAGAGAAGAATTTATAAAAAGTTTCATTCATATGTTTTTATACTTAATTCATAATTTATTTGAAATTCATTTAAAAATATTTACAAATTCCAACAAATTTACATAGCCAAACGCAGTCTCAGCGACCACTGCCGCTCGACGAGTCCAGCTCGGAGGTGGATCGTACCTCCCGGTATTTACTTAAAAGTTCCCGCATCTTGTTTAGCGGCGACTGGAATGTCTGCGCCGTCGGGAATGTCTGAGCCGCCGCGGCCAAAGATTCAAAGGACAAAACCGGCGATAATGAACTGCTGAAAATTCGCACTTCCGCTGCCGCTGCTGCTCCCACAGCCACTGCCGGTGGCTGAATACTGAGATTGGGGCTGGCTCGTCGCCCTCCTTTTGTTATTCCACCAAAGGAACCCAGTTTCGGAGTGGCCAGGATGGTACCGATGGGCTTGGGGGGTTTGATGATCGCCTTCTGGACATTCTTTGGCGACGGGAACAGTTCCAGCTCCGAGGCGGGGAAGCTCTCCATGTTGGCCCTCCAAGCATGGAGACGCGGGCGGGTTTCCTCATCCAAATTCACATTGATAATGGCATTCAGAACGTCAACATCCCGTTTCGTTGGCTCTTTGCTGCATGGAAATGTTATTAAATATTAAATGAATTAAGTGCGGGAACAAATGGTATTACCCACCCATATATATATAGTTGGTATGTCCATTGAGGCGTCATGCTCTCTGGCGGCGTTCCAAAGTTCTCCTCCTCACTGCTAGTCCCATCCTCAGTGGCAGTTTCTAGGCAGTCGTACTGCAAAGCATGGGTAAAAAATAATAAAATCTTGTGTACAAGATATTTTCCACACAAATTTACTTACAAATAAAGTCTTGTCGTTATCCTCAGATGCTGAGGCGGTGGTGGCAGCGGCAACAGCGGCTCGCAGGGATTCGGTGCGCTTGCGCCGACTGCTCTTGCGGCTGAGATTGTGCGGGACAACCCACTGGCAGGGACAGCTATGCTCCGCCTCCCAGGCGTTGATATATAGCTCCTCGGTATTGACAGCGTCCGGCAGCTGATGGAGGGCAGTGGTGGATCCTGGATTCTGTTCTAACTTTTGCAACAAGCTGCTGCACCAGCACCCCAAATGCTGTTCCCGTCCACGCTCGTCCGGGGCCAATAGCTTGAGTAATTTTCGCAGCATCTGGAGCAGAAGCAATCGCATTGCCACATTCACCTCCTGCGAGTCAAACACATAGCTGGCCACCAGGTGGGCAATGCGCGAATGCACCTTGCTAAAGTCCACGTGGGTAAAACGGGCGTCAATCTAAGAGTAATATTTTCATATATTGAAATCAATTTGGAAATAAATAATCAAGCCGGTTCTCTCTTACCATAAAGCTAGCAACTAGAGTCTTGAGTCTCTTCAGCTCGCTGAGCACCATGTCGTTGATGAACACCTCCTTGATGTTAATGATCAGGGTTTTGGTGATCCGTTTGGCAAACACCTGCAGCGACTTTTCCACACAGGTGTACGGCGTCTGGAATTCAGTGATGGTATTTGGCACAACCTCAGCGATGTTGGCCGACGATCTGTCCAGCTGCTGCTGCTGCTGCTCGCTGGCCACCACATTAAGACTTTGAAACAATTGGGCATGGTTCATCATGGCATCCTCCTTCTTTGCCTGCTCGCTTTTCGCAACTAGATGGCCCTCCAGTCGATCCAGTCCCTCGGGCGTTCGAATGTCCACGAAGGCATCAAGGAAGTCCCAGTATTCCCGCCATTGGAGCTGCTCCTGGCTGGCCAGCTGCCGACCGACCACCTCCAGGCCCTTTTCAATGTCCGAGTTCTTGATGTGCCGCTCCCGGTAGCTGTCTGTGTACTCGCCCACAACGATATGCGTGTCTGGCATCTTAACGATATCGTTATTGTTGCTCTCGTCGGTGCGTTGTGTCGGTGTTTTCCAGCGTTTATATAACTTGAAGGCCTTGTCACGGGACATTGGTCCCGCCAGGGCGCTAATGAACAATTGTGCACTGAAAAGGCCGTTTTCGTCCTTTGGCTCTAAGTTCTGCAAAAGCGAGAGGGAGGGAGAAAGAGAGAGAGAGTGTGTGTGTAAGAGAGGCATATTATAAATCATTTGGTGCACAACGGTGCATACTTTTGTTGGCGCAAAGCGGCTAAAGTTAGCTTAAGCCTTTAAAATCATTTTTATTTGTGGATTTCCGGCACGAATTACGAGCTATAATAGTGTCTATATTCGGGAAAATGCAACATATGTATATTCCATACGTATGACATTTTTTAAAATCTTGTTTATAGCTAATTTATTTGTATTATCTTCGATTCTACGATTTAACCATCTCAAAAGTTATACGATGATTGCTTGACAATTTCCCACAAAAAAATTTACGAAAAATACCTAAATTTTGACAGTTTATATGTATTTCTAAAATTCCAACCAAACTAATTGTGTTTGAAGGCATTGAATTAGAGCGAGACGAAGCTCGTCAATTGTATATGAATGTACCCTATATGCCCTATATATTCTCCTTATATACCTCATATTTACCTCATCTTATCCTCATATATTCCCCGTATATACCTCATATACTATGTATATGTTCCTTAAATATTCCTTATATTCCCCCTATAATAACAAGTTGACTAACGGCACACAAGTTTTTGCACTTTGATCTAGCTCCCTTGAAATTTTGTGGAAAAGCCACAGAGGGGAGAGATAAAGAGACTAGAATTAAAAATATAAACATTATGCATCTTGCTACTACTACTTCTTTGCTTTGTTGAGATCACTCACCGGTGGCTGTTTGGGTGAAAAGGGTTTACCCACTTCGGGTGGCAGTTCATTGGCCATGGACCTCAGCACGGGCACATAATGCGGATCGGACAACAGCACATTCAGTTTCCTGCTGGCCTCGGCCGTGGATCGCTGACAGATGAGCTAATTAGGTAATAATGACAAATAACAATATTAAATGATACAAAACATACAGACAGTAAAAACTTACATCATTGGGCTGCAGTCCATCGATATTCTCCAGCGAGGCATTGCACTGGGGATAGGCGAGAAGCACCTCGGCCACGTTCGCGTGTCCGTATTTAGCCGCCAGATGAAGCGGCGTATCGCCACGGACACTGTCCGGCATGTTCAGATAATAATCCAAGAGACTAGAGTTGAGGGTGAAGAAGAACGTGGGATTGGTGCCCTTTTTGCCCGCATACAGCTGCGAGAACTCCGGGTCCGAGATGGTCTTTAGCAGCAGCTCGGCTATTTTCGCCTGATTCTCCTGGGCACAGATGTGAAGTGCATTGTAGCGACAGCTGTCGGTCAGGCAGGTGGGCTTGTCGCCGCTGCTGATGAGAAAGCGAGGATTTTCCCATACAATTCGCTTCACTCTCTCCAGGTTGCCGAATTCGATCTGGCGGCGAAATTCCTGCAACTCCTGTTTATTGGGTGGCCAGAATTGAGTACGCTCTCCACCGCCGCCGCCGCTGCCGCTGCCCGACAGCTCCTGCTGATGGTGATGCTGATGATGATGCTGACGGCCATTGGAAATAATGCCATTAGGGCAACTGCCCCCCGGCGAGGATGTGGGCGAGCTGCTTATATGTAAGCTACCGTCCATGGAGGCAAAGCCACTGCTGCTTCCTATGGCCGAGTCGGAGCTATACGAATTATCCGCGGAATTCGGTGAGCTTTTATAGCCGATGCTGATGCTCTCTTCAAAAAGTAAAAAACAAAAAACTTATGTGATTTGTGTGTTGTTTTGGGTATTTTTATTTTTTTGGGTTTACTTACTGCTGCTTGGCGCCTTTGTCTTGAAAAATCTCTTGGGGGACTCTATGCTCTCGAACCCAAACTGGACGTAGCTCTTGGCCTGCTCCTGGTTGGGGAACTCTCGCAATCGGCCATCCTTGAATTGACGCAGGACGTTCAGTGCATGCATTTTTTCGGTGAAGATCAGCCAAAGCGGAGAGTCGGCTGCTCGGATGGTCCGATGGTGATCGAGGGATAAACCAAATAACAAATGAGTTAGCTGATCGGTCGGTCACGCCATCATGTGGGAAACGGCGAACGGCAAACGAATGGCGAATGTGTGAAGCAAAACAAAATTCAAAACAAAATGCGAGGTGGCGTTGGGTGGGCGGGCATTGGGAAATGGTGTATACATATGCGTGTGACGTAGTTGTTGGCACTATGTCGGCAAAAAAAAATACATATATATATTCCCAGAACAGAACAGAGCACGCACAATAGATGCAGATATATATTTTGTAAAATTCCAAAATAGTTTTTCATGCTTTGATTTTTTCTGGTATTACCTTTAGTTTTTAACTAGATCAAATATCCTTAAACATTTTAGCATCAACAGCCGAGACAATTTAGCCATGTTTATAATTATTTGGTATTTTAAAAGAAAATCGTATTAATTTGTTAAGGTATTTTACAGATCGACTTGAATTAATCGAAGAATAATGTTTTTGTTTGCTTTGCTTTTACGATTCTGCTTTTTGCTGTGTTCTGGGCAACGACTGTTGACTGTTGGCTGGGACAAGGCGAGAGGCAGGAACAAGATACGGAGACATAAACCCAGACGTCAACCACCCACAAGAACTTGATTAAGCCGAAGTTAATGTACTCTCAATATACGTATGTATGTATATTTTAAGAAGCCATAGGGATATGGTTTACCTTTCATGGATGAATATACTTTATCCAATTGAAAGTATATCCTTTTGGCCCATCTTAAATATGCCCTGCAAGGGTATAAATACAAACTGCTCTAGGCAGCCGGCAAAGCTATATATTTATAGTGAATATATTGGATCCGGGGACTAACTACAAACACACTCACTAGCTATGCGTACTTATTCCCACAGCTGGTATTATAAATAAAATGTTAAAAAATGATGTGAATTCGTGGCTGTCACATACAATTATTTGGGGTCACTTTGATACAATTTTAAAAATACTTAAGGTATAAAAAAAACCTAATGATGATATAGATATTCCTACATTAATGTTAAAAGTTTGGAGTTTCTTTACTTTTAAGAATACAACAAATGTTGAAAATCCGTCATAAATCAATGGTAAATTAAATATTTAAAATTCTTGCTTGAAAAATAAATCATTTTAATATTTATAAAATATTCCTAAATAATCATACTCCTAAAAACTATTCCAATTTCATTCTGAAATTGTACTTTAATTTAATACTAGCCAGCTTCGACATTCTATTTTAAATTTATATAATATTCTATTATAAATATATTATAAAACATAGATAATGTTATAACATCAGTATAATATAGAATTTTTTAGCAAACATTGGCTGTTTATTGACGCAATGCCCCGATCCTATCATTATGACCTAAGTTTGGCTGCACCACTTTTGTGGAAGTGAGGAGCAAGAGGTCAAGGTCCTAGTAATGCATCCCCACTTGGGATGGGGGGGGGAGCATTGGCTGGAATCAACGCTTAGCAATCTTTTGTCGCTTTCGTAAGCGAACTTAATTGGATTACACACGTTGCCAGTGAAATAAAAGAGCGGAAGCGGGACAGTTGCATTGAATTCGTTTAATAAATTGCAATTGTCTACCAATTGTTTATATCGAAATCGAATTTGCCGGCTACAAAAGGGTGCATTTCTAGGTTTTTAATTTATCAGAATATTTATTCAAAAATATTTCTGGCCATGGAAACATTCGCCCAACAAATAGTATTTACAAACAATACAAAATAAGGGAAATTTCCAATTCGAGAGAAGGAAATAAAAGCACCCTGGGGAATCAGGGAATTTCCTTGGGGTATTTTTAAAAATGTTCATAAGGTTGTAGCAAAAAAACATACTTCCAATTTCTACAAATAATCTATGTGAAAAATATACCCTATTTAGCGCTGAAAAAATAAGATCTCGAAGATAAATATCTTCAAAATTTAAATAAAATTGGAAACTTGAAGTAAACCGGAAATTTTACTTTTAAAAAATCCTGCTAATTATTGAAATCTTTTTGAAACTAGCTTAATTAAAAAAAAATATATATAATAAAAATATGCCCTATTTACCCCTGAAAAAAAAAATAAATAAAGAAAAAAATAATAATACTTCCCTTTTAAAAAAATATATATACAATCTTCGAACTTCAGGGATAAATATCTTCAAATCAATTTGAAAACTAAACTAATTATAAAATCTAAATTTAAAAAAAACCTACTAGAAAAAAATAAGCAAAAGATACCTTAAATCTTCTTGCAACTCACTCAATTAAAAAAAATTAAAGCAAAAAGTTCATTACTACGTGGCATCATAATCATGAATGTGCAACAAGCGTGCCGGGTACGCCCACCCACTTCCAGGGTATCACAAATATAGCAACAAGCGGTAAATAACTGGAACGCAGCGAACGCACTCGCTCGCTCACATACACACACAGGTTCACCGCAACACTTGCCCCATCTTGCTCACACTTACGTGGATAGTCGGAATCCTCCGCCGGCACTGCCGCTGGTCCCAATCCCGATCCAGGGCCAGGCCCAGATTTACTGGCATCCAGCGACTGTATCCTCACTGCCGCAATCGAGCCCGCACACTGCTCCGGCTTTCCTTCAAATACCGCCTTCGATGGCGGTACATAGACCGCGAAGTAGGACATCTCTCCAGATGCAAGATTCTTGACAATCAAAAACTAACAAAATCAAAAAAAACATTGAGGGGGAGGGTGTTTTGCTTGCCGCTTGTCACACGACGTCAATGTATGTAAATACAAAGACGCAAAACACCACGTACACGGGACTCGGAGCGACAAGTCTACGCCATTTTTGAAGTGCCCAAGATGGCGCTGCATCGGAGCTCCTCTTACCTTTTACTAAACCGTAAAACGCGTCTCATAGAACATCTAAAATCTCGTTGGCCGCCACTTTTGATGATATTAAATTTACAACTAACCTGGGGCGTCCCAAGCGGTGTGACCGTGCATTGGGCGATGGCAAAATACCAACCGGGGAGATGAAAATACTGAAAAGCAACAACATTTTTTGAGACGTTAAATTTTGAACTTAAATTGCAGATAAATAAAAAGAGATGTTTAATATTATTACACCTGCCCAGGTACATATTGTATTGTACATGGCGGTTGTTTCACAGCGTAATTTACAAAGCCAGTGGCGCCCCCTGGTGGCCTCACATTCTTGCCATCTTTTATTTAGTATTTTTCACTGAAATGTTGCAGGCTTAACTGGTATTTCTGCGGACTCCCACGCTATTTTAAGGCAACCCTGCCCACGGTCACACTTGAAATAACGTTCGTTTCGACAGGTTGCGAGCGGGTTTCTCGCGCGTTTTGCGTCTTTTTTTTTATCGTGTGTGTTTGTTGTTGTGGGTGTTTGGCGTGCTGCTACCGATGTTGTTGCTGGTGTTCTAGTGCGGCGCGCGTCTTTATTGACAAAAAGAAAAGGAATATGTGAATGCCTATGGCCAAAAAATTAGTAAAGTAACGAAAATCAATCGATTGTGAGAAACGCAAATAAAATATAATCCAAACACAGGTTGGTTTTAAGTTTAAGCTGCGCTTGACTTAATTAGCTTCTGTTTCCAAGTGTTTTTTTTTTCAGGGATACACAAGCAAGGGTGTGTTTTCCTTCGCGTGTGGGTGGATGTGTTTGTGTGAGTGTGTGTGTGCGTTTGCGTTTTGAACCTGTCTCTTTGCTAAAAATCAATAAAACAAAAGTCAAAACACTAAAGTGCATGTCCTTTCACGTACAGTAGTCCTTCGAAATGTTGAAAGAGGCTTTGTTAGATTTGGTGTCTCTTTTTTTTAAACAAAACAACCAGGATGCCATTTTTGCATTGGTATTGTTGGCTCTCAGCCATATATGTATGTATGTAGTGGTCATTGCAATAGGAATGTTAATAGTTTTTATAAAACAGCTCGATTTCAAAAACTGCAAGGATATACTTACATTTGTAAGATCATGAATGAACATGAACAGTTTATTTTTATTAGTTCACTGTAAAGAGAGTGTACTCTGGCATATTCATATGTATGGGTTGTAAGGATCTTAGAGAGTTGGCAAGAGAGAGAATGAGAGAGAGGAGCAGTGCACTCTGCACTTTTGCAATTGTTTCTTCTGAGCGAGCAGCTGCTCCCAATGCGTACAAGTGTGGTGGTAAATAAAAGACCGTTAAACGAGGCTCACTTAGTTAGTCGAGCATGGCCAAAATGCCGGAGTTGCCAATTAAGAGCGGGCCAAAACAAATGGAAATACAGTAAGCCACGGTTAACGGTAATTAAGTGATTGTGCTTAGCCAATTGCTCTTTATTAAGTGTTTATTCCTTAGCTAAATTTTCCATATTTAAGTAACAATTTTTGTTAATTATTTTCGAAATGAAACATTTTCTATTAATTTGTTTTCTTGTTCTTAATTTTGTTATAGATTTCCTGACTTTAATAACTTATTCCTACAATATCAGGTGATCTAGTAATCCATTGCCTGACCCCTATTAATGTCCGACTTTATCTCTCCACTGACAACGATTTGTTATTATTGTTTTTTTAATAGAACAGGCAGCCCGGCGCTTGCTTTTAATGCCTTTCCTAACTGGATTGGCTTTTAATTATTTACACTTTGCCAGCTGCCATGCACTGATTCTGATGCCTACCTCTCTTTTTCCAGTTTTCTTTCTTTAATCATCTATGTGTACACTTTTTTTAGTACATTGTATATTCCCGCTATCAATTGTGGCTTTATCTAATCGGAAGCGGGAGGATTCCTATGAGTCACATCACCCAGAACGTACATTCAGTGTTGACAAGTTCAAGTGCGTCAATAGCAGAGGTGCCCACAGTTAGGATCTCGGCACGAGCCGGGCACAGAATATATACAGAGAGACGTGCGAAAAATAATAATAATAATATCAAGAGAAATGGAAATAGTTTGCATTGCAATTAATGAAATTCTAACCGCTATAGAGCCTACCTGGCTACAACTATATATATTTACCCACTCTCTGTTTGTGTGCGGAGAACTTTGAGTCGTTAAACCAGTTTATGACTGGTCGGGCATAGAGGCCACCACGTTAAGTAAGTAGAATCAACTGACGCTGAATCAGCTGCGGATCTTACGGCCATAGCTACCTACTGTGACTGTTCTGGCTGCCTGTAGACATCCATGTTGCTGGGGTATATCAGACATTATGTCTGTACCCCCTATTAAATAATTATAAGCTTAGGTAGCTACCTAACTTTTTAAATATTCGTTATAAACTTAATATCATAGGATAACTGCAATTTGAAAAACCATAATAAAGAGTTATAAATAGTGTATTCTGGAGAGGTGTGTGCCGCCTTTGGGATATAGTGGGTATATACAGAGCGGCATCATTAGGGTAGGTATATACATATACATATGTAGATGGGCACGAAGCGTGCCATTGGAGGCAACTTCCCCCCATTAGCGTTTAAAAAATAATTTTACAAAATATTCAAGACACTCTTCCGCTTCTACAATCCACATATCTGCTTCACAGTATTTTCCCCCATATTAACCTCTGGGCAACCCTTTAATTATAAAGCCCTGACAAATGTAGTACTATTGAAACACAAATAATACATTTGAATTTAGGCCAATGTCAGAACAGGAGTCATGGGTTGGGGGAGAGCTCTGTTTACAAAGCGGAATCCAAAATAATTTAATGTGAAAAAATGATGATTGAACATTGAGTGATCAAATGGGGCAAGTGTATTGCCGGCGGCGAGGATGGCAGCTTCAGTTTGAACTTCAATTCGGTGGAGCTTTGAAAATTCAAGTCTTCAACAGCTGCGCTTGATATTAACCTCTCTTGAGTTTGTATACTCTAGATGGGGGTATTACCCCTTTATAATCTATAGTTAAGTATAAACTTGATCAGAATTGGTCTGATGGGATTTCAGCAGACTAAGCTTTTAAGGATTCTTGTAGCTAACATTCTCCAGTAAGAATTTGGCGACCAACTTGCATCATCAAATAAGTAAAAATTTTGATACAAAACCCATATTTATTTAGACCAAGTACCCACAAATACAATAACTATCAGTTAAGTAATTTAATTATTCATCCCAATTGGACACTGAAAAGGGTATACAGAGTTCGGCTTTCATAAAATACCTTCCCTCCTGGTTGGAGTGTTCAATTTGTTTGATTTACTTCACACACTTCCTTGTTGTCTCGACTTTGAACTTGGCATCTTCGTGAAGATCGTGGGCCTATTGACCTTCCAAGTTCTCTAGGATCGATCCATGGTGTTATCTTTTAGTGCTTCTCTTTTTCCACCCGTGTTGACCCAAGTGCCGCCACATAATGGATGGGGTTACCCCTCCCCCCCCACAACAAAACAAACGGGTGGAGAGAAAAAATAAAAGAAAACATATTAATTCAACGGATTGCAAATGCAGCAACAATGGCAATAGTTTAGTTTATTGAACGCACAATAGGCTGCTTGGCACATGGAATACATATTTCTTAACCAAATGAGATGCTTTCGAAAATGGTGTCAGCAATAACAACAATAACTAGATGCACGTGGCAAATAGCTAATAAATAATGCTAACATAAAAAGGGGGGGGAAATATATAGATCAATGATAATGTTTTACTTGATCACTTAGTTTTCAATTTCATTTGCTTTGAAAATGTGTTTTAGTGACTTTAAACAAATTCGTAAAATAAATGCTTTTAAAATGTATGAATCAATATTTTAATATAGGGATAATAAATAAATTAGATATTTTAGAAATATTTTAATTAATGTTATATTAATCATTTCGATACATTAAAGTTTACTATATTTTCGATACGTTATTAAGGGCGATACATATTGAAAAATGTTGTATATATGATTTCGATATATTACAGTTTATGATATTTTCGATATGTTTTTAAGGGCGATATATATTGAAAAATGTTGTATTTATGATTTCGATACCTTGAAGTTTTCGAATTTTTCGATATGTTTTTAAGGGCGATATATTTTCCCTCAATTTCCTTCAAATAGTAGACAGTTCTTGGGTTTATCGTTCATGGCAAGGCAGTTGAGGATGACTCGTCTTTCGTCAAATTCCAGCATAGTCATGGGAATAATGATGCTACCTTGGGTTTTTAAGTGAAAAAGCAAATACGAACGAGTACCGTTGCAACAGTTGCAGTTGCAGTAAAAATACAAATTTCATTGTCATTTCATTTCTCACACATACATGCATTTATACACATATATTTTTGTTAATACGTAGGTATATTTGTATAGTTATTGTTTGTTTTTTTTTTTTATCAAGCGTAGCGCATAAATTATACATTTTGTCACCTCGATTTGATTACCAAAATTTATGTAAATCGCCACTTAATTTATTTAACTAAAGGCAGAGTCATCAAAAGAGACAGGTGGGCGGGCGTGCTTATAAGTAGCCTATATAGTATAGGTTGCATAGGTAAAGTAGTATAAAGAAAAACCCTATTTAACTGTGATGTCACCGCTGCATTCCGCAGACAGACATGTACAAAGCGATCGAAAGTGGAGCTCACATGCTAAAATTCAACAATGAGAGTGTGAGAAATAATATGATGACTTGTAACAAAGTAAAATAATATACATAATAATATAAGTTAAATTCTAATACTAGATATTCTTTTGAATATTTCAAATAAATATTTATTTTGAAAAAACATAACATTTTGAAAGGAATTTCATTTACCTATTTGCTTTTCTTTTTCTCTCTGTGCAGCAGAGAAATAATTAGCTCACAGACATTTTCCACTCTAAGCGCTTACTAAGGCCCCTAAACTATTGTCTAAACCTTTCCCCCTGTTTCCCCTGCTTTTCCTCCTGGCTGTGTGTGTGTGTGTGTGTGTGTTGTGTAATTTCGCTTAAACTGTCAATTCAATTGACGTTACTCATACGTCCCGTTGTGCAGCGAATGGGGCTACACATCTCTTTCTCCTCTCTCCTTTTATTTAGTACTTTTATAAAAATGTTGTGCAACAAATAAATGCTGCAAATCGTATCGAGCATAAAAGAATTGCTTTTAGTAAAGGTTTAGACCTCCCTGTGGGATGTCTTAGTTTCACTTTTCCTGGCTTACAATTAGTAAAGTCTGTACTAAAGGGGAAATAGTAATAAATAATAAATAATATGTATATATAAAAATGATAGGTAAAAAACATTTCTGGTGATTATAATATACCATTTATAATATATAAATACCTATACCTCTATTGATCTCTTCTTTACCTCTCATTTATCTCAACTTCCCCTTTGATATACCCTTTAGCAGTCATTTCCCTCTTCGCATCCGCATAGGAAATGTGATGGGCAAAATGGAAAAGACGCAGAAGAAACAGGAACTGATAATCAGGTGGCGTTGAGGTGCTGTTGTACCTGCCTCTTGGGGCTCTCCACCTCCAATTATCTATATTTAAAATCATGTAACGCATTATGATTTCATGATATAGTCATGAGATGGCAAATTGATTAATCACAATTAAATGTAATTAATTACAAGGAGCTGTAAGTGGCCAGAGGGAAGTTGGAGGCCCAAGCCCATTATGTCACCCCAACCCATTCATTTGTTGTTAACCTTTCTTCTCCTCCCTTTTAACAGAGATATATACATCTAATATATATATATCATTGTTAATATATTGTTAATTTTTGTGTCCGCCGTTCGGGAAAGTGGCACCGCCTGCTGCTGCTGCTGCTGGCCAAGTAGTGCAATTAGCCAAAAGAAAAAGTGTACTACTCTGCAGGGAATCGGTCATATATATAGCAAATTCAATGCATATACGCCATATATCATGATACCATTGTCTGAAACGGTAGCGAATAGAAAGGTTTTCCTTTTCCCCAAGCCCATTTGAATGGGAGATGATGATGATGATGTGTGTGGCGATGCAATGTTTTCGGATAGCTTCAGTTCGCTTCATTTCGGTTTGGCTGGGTTATATATACATATATCTGTATCTGTATCTTTCCACATTTTCGAGGCTTGCGTGCAATCATCAATAACCAGATTTCAATGCCAAGACTTCTCTCAACCCAACCGTCATTCCCCAGGCCCCCTCTTAGAGTCATTAACATTAGTCAATATGAAAGTTTTCCCAACGGACAAAATAGTCACCTTGAGAACGAACCCCACGATCACCGCAAAAACAATATATACATAAATAGGTCTTAATATTGTTTCTTTATACTTAATTTTCCTTAGGATCCTCTTCATGCCGATCTTTGTTTTTTGGATTTTCCATCACAAATATCATAATAAATTATTGAAATTGCAAACTGCTGTTTAAAATTATAATAAAATATATATAAAAAAGGTGCAATTATGCAATTTACTGCCCAAACACTTAATTATAGTTATTAAATATTTGGCAAATATTCGTTTCGGCTTTTGTTTTGCACATAGTTAGCTCAACTTAGGCGGACTTAACCCCAGGCCTCTACGTCTGGGAAAGACTGGTTATAAATTAATTAAAGATGGCAAGAGGAAAATATTTGCAAAATTAAAATCAATCAAATAAATTTTTAAGCCACTAAATCTAATATAGTAATATATCGGTATTTTTAAATGTCATTCTGGGTTGGGCTTTGTCTAACCTGTTCGAAAGCATTCATTCACGTTTTCACAAATGCAATTCCTTTGTGTGTTGACTAATTTCAAGCTGGAATTGTTCCTATCTCTCGATATTATCATAAATTCATTTTCTTGGATCTTGATTTTAATAACAACAGAGACTGGCAGTTAGGTAACAAGGAATAAATAAATGAACTAAAGGCAATATATAATTATAACAATATATTATATGAGAATTATAATGATATTAATAGACATTTCCGATTTGATTAGGTATATCATCAACACCAGGCGATTCAAATTAAGCCATTGTATTCAGTTTTCTTACGATTTACTTGCTTAAAAAGCTAAATATTGGTGTAGAATATATTTGTATATCGATTTATATATCAATATTTTAATCTTCCGATGATATCTGCTCTAAAATCGTCATACTATTTGATATATTGTAAAAATATACTCGGCAAAATTGGGAAATAAATTAAATAGATCTTTTGGATGTTTATCGATATTAGCGATATCATTAATTTTAAATAATTTTACGATATATAAAAGTTTACATAGCTTTTACATTTTTTTCTCTATTTAACATAATATATACCACCGATTCCAAACAGACCTAGCTCAATAAACATAACGTTTAATAATAAAACACTATGTTTAATTAATTAAGAATCGCCCTACTTACATTTTTGGTGAAAAATCAATGATATATGTATGTATAATCAATCAAATTTGACTTGACCCGCGCTCCACATCCAACTGGCCTTATCAGTCGCTGGGAATCGGTGTCAGCTAATCGCACCCACAACAAACCGGTGGCCCCAATAGGAAGGTACCACCTAACCGAACCCACTTGGTCATGCCAAACGCGTTGGTTAGAAATAGAAAAAAAAGTAGAAAGAACACAAAAAGCATAGAAATACAAAAGTAGAAATGGAAAACAAACTTAAAGTTGAAACCAAAACAGAATAGGAATAAGAAGCGCCAGTCCGAAGCCGGTCAATGGAATTGGTTTTTCACTTTCTCAGTTGACGACGTGACATGGGTGCTTAAGAATTATTATTATTTAATATTTATTAATTTTATACTGAGTATTTGTGCTAGAAGCTGTCTTCTTTCTTAACGTTAAATTCTATTAAATTTACCGCTGCTGTTTAAGCCACTTCATGGTTCATGCTGCTCGAGGCACAACCCCACGACGAGCACGTTCTTATCACGGCGAGTTAAGTGCCCCATGGTGTTGCATAAGCTTCTCAAAAACTCGGGCGGAGATCACTTAAAGTAATGAGCAACCAGTAAGCCGAAGGTTGTATGCCCTGACATGAGCTCGAAAACTAGCTGAAACCTATAAATAAATATAATATAATTTTAAAAATTCATGATTCGTCTTATATAGAGTATATTTTATTGGGTCAAAGATGCCTGCATCAATTCCGTTGCCAAATTACAATTGTAATTAAGCAAAACCAAGGCAGCGGCACGTTTTGATTTTGATTTTGATTAACCAACAAATACGCAGCAGCTGAAACTTCATCTTATGACATTATGTGGCATGGTGGAGATCTGACAGATCGGTTCAGATCAGGCTTAGCCAGCCATCCGCAACCGCAGTGGAGCGCAACTGAGTGTGACCAAGTCAGCGGGGCATCCAAATCAGAGCAAAGATCTTACAGATTCAACTGAAACTTGAGTCAAATCAAAGCTTAAATTAGGGATTATAATTAAAAAATTCTTTTGCGATTTTCATTTGGAGGTTTTCCTTCATGGCGCCCACGAGGTGCCCAGCTAAGCTTAGCTTATAAATTAACTACCATACTTTAAATAACTATTATACATTTAGGTTAATATTAAATATAACCAAGACCTTAATACCCATACCATATTCTTCTCCACTTAACATGATATTAGATGATTCATCTTCAGGAACCGATTTGTAATTACTTTATTTATTTATCTTGCAGTTGCACCTGAAACAAGAAGGAAATCCATTCAATCCCATCGACTGAGGGAGGAAAAGAAATAAATAAATAAAAAAAAGAAAAGCCGCAGTGAGGAAATCAAAGTAGGAACCAAACCAACAACAACTGTAAGTACCCCCGAGGAGGTGGAAAAAAACAACCGCAAACAAACAGAAAATCATGTGCATACAGACGGAGGCTTTTGGCTTTTGCAGATGGGAATGGGAATGAAACTTCAAATTTTTGTGACCATATCCGGTTGCCAGTGGCAACTTGCAGCTTCCACTAAAACAATAGGAAGCTGGCAAAAAAAAACAGAGACGAGAAGCGGTTCGAGATGGAAACGCAACTTTGTTTTGTGCTTTTTTTTTGTGGGTCCATGGAAATCTCATCTTGGCATTGTTGGCTTCTTGGCTTCTATTTTTTTTTTTTTTTTTTTTTTGTCTTACGGGGAAATTGCGTAAAACTATGATATATTCACAGCACATCGAGGCGATCTGATCTGTTGATAGGGAAGTAAATGAAGGTGGCTCAAAATGTTTCGTTACGTTAAGGGGGGACATCTGAGTAACTGGCAAAAAAATAGCCAATTTTCTAGAATTTTTTTTGGCCAAATGAAAAAGCCAATCGAAAAATTTTAAAGTAGGTTTGATAATGTTAGATGTGAACTACAAAATAAATTTTTTTTTTAATAAATCGAAAACAAAATGGCGGCTGTGCAGCATGTCTTCGTAGGCCCTATTTTTTTGAAAGGGGTCCATGGCCGAAAACCTAAAGTCCTTAATTTTTGATCTAGAACAAAAAATCAAATTTTGTTAGTTTCTGTATCTCAACCGCTATCGACACACGTAGGATTTTTTCGATATTTTAATTTTTAGCAAAATGGTGAGTGATTAACTAAAAAGTTCCATTTTCATGAAAAAAAAACGTCACAAAATTGTTGTTAAAAAAAAAAGTAAGCAAAAAAAAAAAAGATCCTACGTGTGTCGATAGCCATAGGTATTTTGGATATACTGTCAACATTTCAGATCGATCGGTTAAGATTTGTTGGAGTTATGTTTTCGGCCAACTCAAAAAAAGTGGTTTTGAGAAAAACGCGTTTAAAGTTTTAAAATCGAATAGAAACTTCTGCCGGACTCTATCTTTTGATATGTTATTTTTAAGACCCTAAAGTATTTTTTAAGCAACAAAAAAATTTTTCGATTTTTAAAAAAAGTTACTCAGATGTCCCCCCTTAATGTTCTTCTTGAAACCAGATCTGGCACGTGCTACACCAACAAAGACTTAAAGCTCGAATTTCTATATGAAAGAATAGTTTATAAGAAATTAAAGTTATAAATATAGAAACATTCAAGTGTTTACCTATTAATTTTATAAATTTAACCGGCGTTGAATCAAGGAGTTAGAAGAAAACTATTTATAAAATAAGGTAACAATGAAATAATAAAGTAACAACGATACTATCAATTCTTTCAGTCGATAAACATCCGTACAAGGCTACCGTACTACCTTTCTATACTATAAAGTATCGGTAACAGCAATTTATAAAAGCTTTTTTTTATAGTTAATAAAAATAAATTCCAACAGCTTATAATTAATTTCTGGAATCTTGCAAAACTACAACTTAGCTTTTCTCAGACTTTTTAACACCAGGGTTTCATTTTAATCGATGTTATCGATGTGTCTCCGCCTCTAAATTTTGCTTTAAATTTATTTTTCCCTGAAAACTTTTCATCCTAGTTGGCTTTGGATATAATTTTCACTTGACATCTTGGCTTTAGCCAGTCATTCCTTTCAAGATTCTTACTTCTCAGCAGTAGCACTGGTTTTTTTCTCCTATTAAAAAAAATTTTTTTTTTGGTTGAGCAAAAATGCCTAGTCGAAAGCGCAACAAAACGTCGCAGGCGCAGATGAAGCTGCTGGTTAAGGCCCAGAATATGAAGAAAACATTGTTGCCGCCGCCGTTGCAAGAGCCGTCACTAACACCGTCGCAAGAGGTGCCACAGTCGCCGCCACCACCACCACCTTCACCACCACCGCCACCATCTCCGCCGTCGCAAAAGCCGCCACGGCAACAGAGGAAGGGGAGCTGGCAGACATCGTCGTCGTCGTCCCCCAAGGACAAATCTCCGTTGCTAGCGGCAGAGCGCCCAGAATCCCCGCCTCAGGAGGATTCAACCCCCTCATCATTCCCCTATCAGGCCAATAGGGACTGGCGCATTATGCGCAATCTCTATCATACCAAAGGGACCACCATTGAGATGATGTACACAGGTCCAGAGTGTCTGCCGCAGGAAGAGGAGCCAGATCAGCAGCAGAAGCAGCTGCCCCGTCTTGAGGCCCGTCCGGGCATCACCCACGTCAAGGTGCAACTGCCGCAGGGAGTCCTGCCCACTGCCCATTGTTTGCCCGATATGCCTTCGTATATCAATGCCATTGACTTCTTTGGCCATCCAGAGCGTCATCAGGCGGATCCCAGTGCCGGGCAACGCACCACTGTGACCATGACACCCAAGGCCCAGACGGGCAAAAACCAGCAAGAGCAGCAGGAGAAGGTGACAGCCAGCAGCACCATGGAGGTGTTGCCATTGGGCACCTATCAGGGTTCACCATTGGAACCGGGTTTCCTGAACATGGCCTTCCAGACCTTCAGCACAATGGACTTTATTGTGGATCCCTTGGAGGAGGGCACTAATTCCAACTGCATCTCCTACGACGCCCAGATTTCGCCCACCGTGATGCTGTCCATGGCTCAGCAGCAACGTTTGCAGGCCGCTGTCGTGCAAGAGCAGGTGCCTCTGGTGGACGCCCTTCTGCCCGTCGTCCAGGATATACGCAAGGAGTATGCCGAGAAGCGAATGCCGTTGGCGGAGTATCCCTTGCCGTTTACAACCATGCAAATCTTTTCTAAGCACGAAAACATGCAACTGTCGTCGACGTCGTCGTCGTTGCCGTTTTTCTCTCCGTCGCTATCGCTATCGCCCTCACCTTCTCCGCCGCCGCCACCACCACCACCGCCGCCGCCGCCGCCATCCCCACCGCAGCAGCCACCGCAAGCTTCTCGAGCCGGCGAATTTGTTCCTAGACTGGGACCGAGCCCAGGGTCTAGTTCTGGGACTCCTCGTTTGGTCCTATTGCCCACACCACAGATAGTGCCGATACCGCAGAGATTTGAAAATCCGCCGCCGAGATACCCAGTGCTCGTACAGCCCAACATACATCCGAATTATAATCAACAGCCGTTGCCGCCGCCGGGTTACCCTGGCTTCTTAATGCCAAACTGTAATCCCAACTATGTTCAACAGCCGCCCAGATACCCTGTTTTCGTTCAACCGAACTTCTTTCCAAGATATGCTGTGCCGCCGCCCAGATTCCCTTTGCTCGTGCATCCAAACTATATCCCGAACTACGGGCAGCCGACTTCTCCGCGTCGTCCTAATGGTAATTGGATGTAGTTGAGAAGTTGAAAATACTGAGAACTTGACACTTTGTACTTTCTTGTAATTAAATTTAATATTAAAATGTAAAAGAAGAAAGGCTGGAATGTCAGGAAATAAAGAATTTGAACTCCATACAATATGTACTTCTCCAATACTCCTACTCCAATACTCCTACTCCAATACTCCAAAACTTGAAAATACTGAGTACTTAAGTCTATTAGTTTCTTGGACTTAATTTTAATATTAAAATTAAGAAAAAGAAAGGATGAAGCATCAGGAAATAAGGAATTTGAACTCTATAAAGATGTACTTCACCAATACTCCAATACTCCAACACAATGTTTATCACATCAAACTGTATTTGATGTTTCACTTTTCATCTCTACTCAAACGAAGAAAGTGAAACACTCTTTGCAAAAAAAAAAAAAAAAAATAAAATAAAAATAAAATAATGAAAAGATCAGCTCACTGTACATGAAGGCAGACAAAAATCGACTTGTCAGCTTCAATTGTTTGGCAGTTAGCTTCGTTTTCTAATATTACCAAACCTAAGGCCAAGCAAAAGTGTGGTTTAAATGGTGTCTTTTCCAAATAAAAAAACATACAATGAAAAAAAGATGCCCAAAAAATTATGAAAACCTTCGGTTAAATGTCAATAATAATCTTATATGATATTTTTTGGGAAATGCTTTAATTTGAATTCTGAAAGGGTTCTTATATTAGTTTTTTTTTTTTAGGTTTACAAATCTGCATACTTAATTTAACATATTTACAATTTTAGCCAATTTTTGTCCCTTAAACTATTTATATTCTAATATTTATAGAGCTGCAGAGTACACAAACTTTCACATACTAAACCTACAATATTTCTGTGTTTTATCGTTTATCTTATGAATATTGAAGAGTCATCGACCCAACGATGCTTTCGATTTAATTCATCAATTAAGCCAATCAATCCCGTGTAATATTAATTATGCAATTTAATATTCGAATGCTCATATCTACTGGTGACTGGACTATTGTTAATAATTTATTTATTCAGTTTTATAACCTTATCCGATACTTAGCTTAAGCTGTAGCTTTTCCATTAGCTACTCGCATTGAGTAAAAAAAGGGCACATGAAAAATTACACATGAGACTCATTTGGTTGGCAATTGTTTTGCAGTTGTAACACGCGCCGCCGCCGTACTGGTGTCAACAGTGACCCCGATCTAGACACTTTCTGTGCCCTATGCTGGGAGCATGCAAAACGAAAAATTTCACTTTGTTCTGTGTGTGAGGGGGAGCCGCCAGCCGCCTTCACTTTCGTTTTGCATACCGTGCGAGTAAAGACAGAAAGGGAGTTATTTGTTAGATAAGTGAGCCAGAGTCTGGAAATCAAAGAAAGCCCTCTTAGTGGGAGAAAAAAAAAAACTAAGAGAAATGCTGGAAAATAGCAGGGGCAACCAATGGGTTGAAAGTAACAATTACCTGTCATTGTTTGTCTATAAAATTTGCCAATATTTAAATAAAATGTATTCATTCATATAGCACAGACTTTATTTATTTATTTTATTAAGGAACAAAAAAGTTAACGCTGAGATAAAGTTGTGGTAAAAACAAAAAGATTGCCTTAAAGAGTGTAATTTAGGTACACGAAATAGAATATAGCATATACATAGCTTATTTATTTATTTTATTAAGAAAC